CCCGAGAGGTCCCACGACGGCCTAAGAGGGCCCGAACCCGGGTCAAGAGGGCCCGAACCCGGGTCAAGAGGGCCAAGAAGGCCCCACGAAGGGTCCAAGAAGGGGACCACGAACCGAAAATTCTAGCTCTCCGCCCCAAGAAGCTCCCGGGATGGCCCAAGCGGCCCTCCAGGGGCTCCACGAGGCCCCCACGAGACCCCCAAGAGCCCAAAAAGAGGCTCCAAGAGGCCCCAAAACAACCCCCCAGAGGAGAGGCCGCCAAACTCGGGAAGGCCCCAGCGACGCTCCTCACGAGATCCCACCGCACATAAGAGGCTTCTGATCCACAGCCTAGGCACGGTGGCGGGATGGGTCGAATGCCACCAAATACAAATACAAGCATCATATACGCACCGGTTAAGCTGGGATGGACGGACGGTGGGAGATCGGGTGCGAATGAGGGAGACCGACTGCGGCGTTGTCGCTGGGACCTGAGTCAGTATTTCATCTTGATATGCACCCCCTGCTCTATCCGACCAACGACAGACCCGGGGTTATGTGGGCATTATGCGCGGTTTGGGGGAAATCTCTCGCTTTGAACTTCCCGACGCCCGTAGAGGACCCGCAAGGCCCCCAGGACGGCCCTACGACGGCAGCTGCGACCTCCACGACGCCCACAGAGGCGCCCAAGACCAACTCCAAAAGAAAACCAGCCAAAGGACCCGATCGGACACTCCGAGCCCTCGGCCTCAATTAGACCACAGGAGACCTCACCAGAACCCCCCACAAAGCTGACACGAGGCCCCCACCGAACGGCACCTACTACACCCCCAAGGGGTCGGCGGTGCGGCGCAAGCCCGAGAATCATGACGTCGGGGGTCTGGGGGATGAAAATGAGGAGAAGGACCCAGACCCCCGACGTCATGATTTTTCATTACGTCGACCCCTGGAGGTCTCGAGTCAGTCCCCTGAACTGGCTTTTCATCCTGAGTCGTTTTTCGACGGTCCCGAGGGCTGGTAAGGCCCCCCAGAAGCCGAACATAGCAAAAGACCTCCCGTCAGGATTTGTCCATTACCCGAGGGGGTCTGGGGATGCTCCTGGGGGGGGGGCGGGGGCGATTGGGGGTCGAGGGGGGGCTGCTTCCGCCTCCACCTGAGCCAATCCCCCCCCCAGCGTTGCCCCTGGTTCGCCCGGCTGGACCGGTCTTCCCCGCTCTGCGCCCCCCAGAGCAAGAGGTCCAAAAGTCCCCCCCAAAAAATAACCACCCCGACGCGCGAGGTCGTCTAGTGAACGCGCCCGAAGAAGGAATCGAAGAGGCAGGACATGACTGTTCAACAAACGCCCAGGGCCGCTTAGTAAACGCCAAGTAACGGGTACGGGTGGCTTCTCCCCCGAGGTTGCAACATCAGAACACCCGAGGGAGAGGCTGGATCTACGGACCCGGGTCAACGCAAACCTGGGTCAGTCAGGCGTTGCAAAATCCTGCTGGGGCCTGCAGGGTTCTGCACGCTGACCCGGGCCAGTGCAGCCAAGGCTCCCGAGACCGCCAGCGTCATGTTTTTTTTTTTTTCCTCTCTATGTCCACCCCCGGAGGTCTGGACCCCTTCCCTGGGGCCGGCTCTTCGTCCTGAGCCCTCCTTTGACGGTCCCAAGGCCGGGGAGGGGCCCCCCGCGGCCGAGCAGATGGCGAAACACCTCCCGCCAGGATGTCTCCTCACGACCCGAGGGGGGGCCTGGGCCTGCAGGATCCTGCAGGATCTGTCGCGCTGGCCGACCCCGTGTCTGCGCCGACCCCCCCCGCCCCAGGGCTCCCGATGCCCGTCCGATCCCGCAAATCCTGGACCCAAGAACGCGTTTCACCTCTTGGGGCCGCACTTCCTACTTCCGCCCCCTTCCGCCGAGCTTCCGCTGGCGGAGGCGGCCTCGTCTCACTTCCGCCGCCTTCCGCCGTCCATCCGCCGCGGAAGAGATGACAACTTCTTCTATCCATAGGTCGGACATGTCCTCTTACATGCGGATGTTGGACAAATGCGCCAAATGAAAAATTAGGGAAATATACGTAGCACCCCGCAATTGCGGATAAGAGTGAGGGGGCGGGCGCGGGCGACGCGGGCGTCGTCGAGCCGGCGGACCTCGTGGCCCCCACCTTCCCTGTCGATGGCGCTCTCCTCCTCCTCCTCCTCCTCCTCCTCCTCCTCCTCCTCCTCCTCTTCCTCGTCCTCGTCCTCGTCCTCATCGTCATCGTCATCCTCCTCCTCCACCTCGTCCTCCTCCTCCTCCTCTTCTCTCCTCGTCCTCCCTCTCCCCCCCTCGTCCTTTCATCATCGTCCTCCCATTGTCGTCCTCCCCCTCATCGGCCTCCATCATCGTCCTCCCATTGTCGTCCATCATCATCATCCTCCCCCTCCTCCCCCTCCTCGTCCTCCTCCTCCCCCTCCTCCCCCTCCTCCCCCTCCTCGTCCTCCTGCTCCTCCTCCTTTTCTTTCTCCACATTCTCCTTACATCCTCTCTTCTTCCGCG